CCCCTTGCCCCCCCCCCTGGCGCCGCCACTGCAAAAAGACGATATGTTTGAAGGCGCCGAAGTTATTTTTGGCGAAAGGTATGGCTAGGAAATACGACTAAAAAAACGTCAAAACAATGCGACGTTTGCATCGTATGACCTTGCAAATGGCCTATGTTTTTTACAAAAAGCGTGTGCACTATTTATGTGAGAACACGAGTTTATGGGAGGGGGAAAGAAAATATACTCGTTATACTTATCGCGGCATATCCCTGATAAAATATAATTAAAACCAAATCTGCCAAATTAGCGGCACCGGCTATCGGGCATTACTTGAACGATAAGCGACTGTAGAGGAAGCCTCACATATCGATTTTTTCCACGAGAAACGTCATATGTTCGTTTGGGGGTGGGGGGGTTGGCAGCTGTGACGTTTCTCTGTAAACATCATGGAAAAATTCGATAGTTTTTATCTTTGCAGAATATAAAAAAGAAAATAATTTGATACAAACAGCAGTCTATACATTCGTAATACCATACCTGTTCTATACCTATGCATTTATATTATTACGGCTTCCTTGCATTGTAAACACTCAAATTTCAAGAAAGGCGCGCTAAAATTATCAATATTTCAATTTCATGCAAAAAAGTTGTTTTGAGAAACGTTGGAAATTTTGAAGTTCATATTTATAATAAAAAAAGAGTATGTCATATTCCTCGCGGAAGCATCGCCAATAGCCGACCGAAAAAATGTATATAGAAAATTACCTTATTCATGTGTACTATAAGAACAAAATATCGATAAAATGTGTTGCAGTGATCACATGATAGACATGTGATACAATAACATTTATATATAGTTTTAGGGTGTGTTCACATTAGTGATTGATTGAGCGTTGAATAAATAAGTACAACATTACAATGGCGACGAGGAAAAATGTGCTAAAACGAAAGTTATAATCGATATCAGTCCTTTAGTATGGCAACTGCGGGAAAGATAGATGTAGCTCCTCTTGCTCCGTTTGATCCGATATCAGAACCGACATCCTTAAGTCAACGATGGAAAGTTTGGAAACGCAGATTCGAAACGTATTTAGTCGCGGTAAATGTGAAAGATAATGCCCAGAAACGAGCATTGTTACTTTATCAAGCCGGTGAGGCAACACAGGAAATCTTCGATACACTTTCAGAGACAGGAGAGGACAATGATTACAAGACTGCAATTGAGAAATTGGACGAATATTTTTCCCCGAAGAAAAATGTGGATTACGAGATATTTCAATTCCGTCAAGCAAAGCAAAACGCCGATGAACCAACAGACCAATTTGCAACACGACTTCGCAAACTAGCAGCTCACTGTGAATTCCACGATGTAGACCATGAAATAAAATCGGCTATTATTCAAAATTGTCGATCTAAACATCTCAGGCGGTATGCCTTACGGCAAGATAAAGTGACTCTCACCGAGTTGTTATCGAAAGCTAGAACATTGGAAAATAGCGAACAGCAAGCCAAGGGCATTGAAGAACGTTTAGCATCGACTAATCTTCAAGACGAAGAAGCAAATTTTGTAAATCCCCCAAGATCTAATGGACAACAGCGACGACAACAGTGTCGCAACTGTGGA